ACATGCCGCGGAGCAACTAGGCCCGTGAGCCACAACTACTGAGCCTGCGCGTCTGGAGCCTGTGCTCCGTAACAAGAGAGGCCATGACAGTGAAAGGCCCGCGTACCGTGATGAAGAGTGGCCCCCACTTGCCACAACTAGAGAAAGCCCTCGCACAGAAACGAAGACCCAACACAGCAAACATAAATAAAAGTAAATTAATAAAAACAACAACAACAACAAACAACCTCGCTGTGAGCACTCTTTAAAAAAAAAAAAAGTAATTTGGTTTTTGCCCCCAGACTTAGAAATTTTTATCTTAAGAACTTTTAAAAATTCAGCTTTTTATGAAATCAATATTTTAACTATTCTACATGTATATCTCTAGTACAGTATAGAGATATGTAGGGGAAAAATAATTATCTGACTATATTAAGTGTTGAAATCTATAAACACCTGTGCTTTGTTATAATACAGAGAATGAAGTAGCATTTAAAGAGATTAAATATTGCTGTTTCCCTATGCTTTGATGCCTCGCCCCCTTTTATTTCTAGTTTTACTAATACTTCCTAGGTCATTCTTTTCCTCCATGATTTCAGGTCTGCTTATATGCTGAACATTTCTTGTATTATTATCCCCGGCCAAATGCTTTTTCCTGAACTTCAGAACCGTATGCACAACTGCCTAGGGACCTTCTTCTGGAGATTGATTCATTCGGTCATTCATTTAGTCATCTTTTTTTTTTTTTTTTTTTTTTCCGAGCCTCTCCTCTGTGCCGGGGTTTTTTTTTAGCATTGGGGATATAGCAATGACCTAATAGACAATAATCTCTGCCTTCCTGGAGCTTACATTCTAGATAGATGATAAGCAAAACAACTAAGTGAAATTAAGCGTTACAGAGAAAAATAAGACAAGGAAGGATAAGGGAATCTTGGAGAAGGTACATTTTTTAAAAAGGCAGTTTAGGAAGACTTGATGGAGAAGGTGGTATTTTGAGCAAAAACCTGAAGTTTTTTTTTTTTTTTTTTTCCGAGCATCTACTCTGTGCCAGGGTTTGTTCTTAGCATTGGGGATATAGCAATGACCTAATAGACAATAATCTCTGCCTTCCTGGAGCTTACATTCTAGATAGATGATAAGCAAAACAACTAAGTGAAATTAAGCGTTACAGAGAAAAATAAGACAAGGAAGGATAAGGGAATCTTGGAGAAGGTACATTTTTTAAAAAGGCAGTTTAGGAAGACTTGATGGAGAAGGTGGTATTTTGAGCAAAAACCTGAAGGGAGTAAGTAAGCATGTAACAGTCTGGTGGAAAAGCATTACAGATGTCACACAGGCACTTCAAACCAGATTCCAAACTGAACTTACTGTTTTTCCTTGCAAGTCAGCTTCTCTTCCTATTTTTCCTGTGTCTGAATTGTGCCCTAATATCTCCCACCAGTCAAGAAAAAAACCCTAAGATTTACCCCTAGACTCTACTCCTTCCATAACTCTGAACAAATCTCACACCTCTCTGAGCCTATCTCCTAATACCTCCTCTTGACTTTTCATTCTTAATGCCTTTGTTTAGACCGTCATCATTTTCCTCTTAAATTTTTCTAAGTGTTCTCTTAATCTGTCTCCTTGCCTCCAATCTTGCCTCCTCCAATGCATCCTTTATGCTGCCAGTGATATTTGCGAAATGTAAAGTTTATCATGCCATTCTCCTGTTTAAACTTTTCAGTGGTTTCTCATAATGGTCGAACCTACTCTTTATTGTGGCATGGAGGGTCCGATGTGATTAGCACACTTGCCCCGCCCTCATCCTCTTCCTGATAACCTCTCCAGGTTTATCATTTTAAGTACTTTTACTGGCTCTTGCTCTATAAAGTTCCTTCTAAAAGCGACCCCTTGCAACATTGTGCCCTCTCATACTTTCTACAAGTTACTTTTATCCAGTGATTTGTTTACATGTTTCTTCCCTAAACCCAGCTCAGTACTGGGTTCAAACAGGTACTAAAAAAATGAACGGATAAAATTAAATGTACTGCCCTTGATGACTGGTGTAATATAAATATGGATGCCCCATATCTAAGCTCTGGCCATAGGCGAAAGAATTTCTCTCTACTCAAACTCTAAGAAACACCTTAGAAACCCCTTTTCAACATGTAATTCAACATATCCCAATACTGAATACAAACTGCCAGTCTTATTTACTTGGAAAACCATCTGATTTAAAAGCAAAATAGTACCTTCCCAACAAACAGCTTCTACTTTGGGGAATCCACGAATACACCATTTCATCCGTGTACTTTTTTTTTAGCAACACAGAGAATTTCAGTTCCAGAATATATGAACTGCAGAAATTATGAGTCATTATTAAATTATGAGTCACTTCTGTTAAAGATACTGTGAGTTTGATATCTGGTTACAGGGATTAAAAACTAAAACTAAAGTTAATGACTGAAAGTAACTAGAGATAAAAGAAAATTAGCTTTACAAAGCTATTCTAGTGGCACCTGGGGGTGCGGGGGAATCCAACTTGTATATAAGGGAGTAATGAAAGTGAAATCCAGCATCAACAGTCCAGACGTAAAATTAGCAAAATATTTAACATATAATAGACCAGGAATAGCAAAACGTAATTTTATATGTATCATATCCGGAACAAAATGAAACAAATTGCAAACTTCTCATTTATTGAGCCTAGTGAGGGTAGCAATCTTTGCTCACAACAAGCACCTTATGGTAAATGGAAACTTACAGTACAACATTGCATTGAGAGGTATGTTATTGACAGTGTTTCCATTTGTTACCATAGTCATTCCTTATTAATGAATAGCAATTGGAATTCAACTACTGCATATGATTTCCAGAGACCTATGGTTCATTTTGTTTTCTATAGAACAGTAAAAACTAATTATTTGAATTAATTTTGTATTTTATATGCTCCTATCACTATTTTGATATTTACACCTATACATCTAGGAAGATTTATACTCTAGATAATGGTATTGGTATAATATGTAACTTTTTAAAAATACAAATTCTTAAAGATATTTTAAATATGTTATAGACATAAACAGGCTTTCATTTAGAGTTTTATAGATAATTTCATTGAATATTGGCAGTTTAGCTCTCTTAAAAGATCTTAAAGCTCAAATCTTTTTCTCTATGGCTGGCAACCCTAGGCAGAGATTAACTAGCACAGGGAGAATTAGCTATTGCTTATGTTTATCAGCTTTGACTATACACAGCAATCAACTGGAGATGTTAAGATACAAATTTCAATTCAATAGGTTTAGTGTACAGCCCTGGATTCCAGTTTCTAACAAGCTCTCAGGGGATGCTGCTGGTCCATGGACCACACTTTTGAATAGCAAGGCCTGAATCAAGGGTCTCAGCCTTGATGCCTATTGGAATCACCTGGGAGCTTTAATAATTAAAAAAACACTCAGCATTGCTAGGGGTGTAAGGTTATTTAGTCTGGGGTCCAGTCTGGGTATAGAGTTTTTAAAACTCCCAAGGTGAAGCTAAGAGGCAGCTAAATTTGAGAACTTATGTCCTAAAATGTATTGGTTAGACTTACCATAAGCTTTTATTTCCCCTGGTTTTTATTACCAAGGATAACAGCTAGGAATAACCAGTTCTGCATAGATTATGAGCACGAGGCCCCAAATCTCCAAATTCTTCCTGAGAATATGATGCATTATCAATCAGGTTCTAACATTAAGAATCTTAGTGACTTCATATCTACACTCCTACCAAATTATTAATAACATACTTTTAATGATATCTTAAATATTCATGAGTTATAACGAAACGACAATCTGAATTATTTTGATTAGAAGTACAATAGACATATAAAAATGTGGTTTTAAAGTATATGGAGGTGTCTACCCCTAACTACAGATAAAAAGGTTCAGATTAGTCAGGAAGTTTAAAAAAAATAATCCCCAAACCTGGCACTTACAACAGGAGAAAGGCTCAGACACAGACAGGACAAGCAAAAGTTTACTTAGTGTCCTTATTTGAAGCAGGCACCACTGATCCTGGAGTTACAGACTGAATTATCACTCTTTCTTCATAAGGCCTTTCCTAATTATTTTGCTAAGCTGAGATGTGTAAAAGGTCAAGATGCAATTACATTTCAAGGCCCCCTCCCTAACTCTTGGAAAAAATAATGAAAATATTTTAAACTCTCAGCTATTTGCCAAAATTCCCTAAGTATGGTAAAGAGCTGGAGTACAAATCAACTGCCACATACTAATGATGTGACTTAAACTTTCTGAACAGGCTTTCTCACCCGTAAAATAGGGCGTGGAGAAAGTCCATTAAGAATGTAAAAGCAAATACAAATTCAAGGTAGCATCAAGTATTTAACTATGATAAGCCAAAAAATAAATACATAAATGGTGTAGCAGTGCAAAGAACTCAAGTCCAGACTGGGGACTACTTCTAGGTTTGCCACTAATAGCCCATAAGCAAATCACATACCTTAGCCTCATTTTAAAAATAAAGGCACCTTAAATAGATTATCCTGAGAATCCTTAGCAGACCAAAGCTCAATGACCTAAATATAACTAATTAAGTGCTCCTCTGAAGCAATTATGATTAGTTCTAAAGCAAAAAAAACCCCACCTTGTTACTTTTAACATGATTGGTTTAACAAGTCTCTTAAGAAAAACACATTTTAAAGTTGTCCTCAAGAAAAATCTTCTAATTATTTAGCTATCATTTAAAATAGCAAATAAATTTAAAAATTAAAAAAGAATGGAATGTGGGGGGAAATGGGGAGAAAAGGATCATTAAGAAAACCAGTGTAAGAACACCATGCCGAATTAAAATAAACAATGTAAACTGAAGATGAGATATTAAAAAGCTTTTCCTAAGGAAAACTACGTCAAAGCATGCAGTATGGGATTTTACAGTCTATTCCAAAGAATACACGGGCATTCGTTTTAAATATATAAAATGTTTCTAAGTACTGCAAATAACTCATAATTCTGAAATAAAATTATCCCAATTAATAAAGATGGTAATACATGGAGGTTATTTCCTTTTATTGTTCAGTTTGAATACATGTCCTGCCAACCACAAATCACCTAGTGTGACCAAATACATGAGAAACCCCTGTAAGAATCACAAAGTGCCACTTTCACAGCTTTCTGTCACAAGGATACTGAGAAAATCTAAGAGTGAAGGAGTGAGACACAGGTTGTCTCGATTATTAGTTCCAATCATTAATCTTCTTCAGAACTGGAATCCTCCTCTTGGTCAGAGAGCTCAGGGACAGGGAAGCGAAGAATGGCAGCTACCCCAGTCAACTGGCTGAGCTGTTCCCCAGACACATGAAGACTGGAGAAGATCCTAACGGAGCCTGCGTTCTCCTTCACGCTGTCCACCAGCCGCACGTACCGGCTCCGTGTGGCTACATCCTGGTGCCTGAAGAGCTCATCGCTGATGAGCAATGTGTCAACTGCCATGGCCTCATTGGCCTTCTCCACCTGCTTGAGTCCATAAAAAGCTCGGTCAGGCTCATGTTGTAACATTTTATAGAAGTCATCCAAGGCTTTTACTTCCCCAGCGGCTTTAGTGTCTGAAAGGCGGCTAGCTACTGTAGGGTCACAAAGGGCCTCTTTCAGGGAGTACTTGTGTCCAGAGGAGGCATGTACCTAGAATCACAATTACAAAAGTTAGACAAAAGATCTCTTAGAGTACCCATTAAACAGCCCACAATGACCTCAAGCCAAAAGCACTGGTAAGGCTTTATATGTTTAAGAATTTAAGCCAAGTTTACTATAACAATTTGCTAGTCTCTTTTCATTTCATGATCTCACTTACAATCCCAGTCAAGTTAAACCTTCCTCCTCTTGTACTTTTCCTAGTTCTAAAACTTTAGGAGTCGTTTACATAAACCCCTCTGCCCATTCTTAATTATCCCTGGATAAGACTGTTTTACCTGAAGGAATTTGGACCGGTTTTCCAGGAGCACTTTGTTGTCCGTCTTCACTGCTTGTTGAAACATGTAGTCGCAGAACTGCTCCCTCACAAATCCTGGGCTGGCCACCAGGACGCACTTTACAATATCAAAGTGTATGTGGCGCTGGATGGCCTGGACCACCTGTTCATAGAACCGCTCCAAGGCTCGGTCGTGCTGGGAGCAGTTGCCTTTCCGTTTCCTAGGGATGTTCACTTCCACCTTGGCCCGAGTGAGGGTCATGCTGGGAGTGACTAAGCAGATATGAGCGAGGCCTTCCTGCATCACCACAGCCGCTACATCAGCGCTCCAGGCTGGGTCACAGGCTTGCTCGATGCGCTCCAGAACCACACTGTCCCACTGTTTCTTGGCCAGGGTGAACTGGCGGTTGGGCTCCAGCTCGATGGTGTGGTAAGCCCCCATCTTGACATACTCATTCTCCTGGATGTTAGTCCCCTTGACCCGCAGCTGGCAGGCTTGAGAGTCGAAGTCGATGGCCTCCACGCAGAGAGTGAGGGTAGTGCGGACCCGGTTGCTCCCTACGCTGCCCGTGGAGGACTCCGTTTGTACCTTGCGGATGGTGGAGGCGCGCAAGCTGTCGCCCACCTGCACTAGATTGTAGGTGTGCCACATGTCCTCAGGTTCCTCGGGAACCAGGGTCACCTGGCCCGCATTGTCTTTCTCAATGTCCTTCCTCACGAGCTTCATGATCTTGGCAGGGGCTCACTGCCAGAACAAGAGGAACCGAGGGGATCGCCACAAGGAAAGGGGTAGGGAGGGGAAAGTTTAGGCCGTGAAGGGGACGGGGTCCGGTTCCCACAGGCACTTGCCTGGCGGGAAGGAAACACTTTCTATATGACTCTAGCGGCTGGGGGGAACACTTACTTTAGCCCTTCCTTTTCGTGGTCTCGGGGCACGCCGCGTCGAACCGCCGCAAGAGACACCGGCGAACACCTTCTCCGCGGTTCCAGCCGCCGTACACATCAAGAGGCCGATGCAGTAAGGGCGCATGCGCAGCCCACGTCCTGCCTCCTGGCGCACGTTTTACGTCCGCAACGGGGAGGCGGGGCCGCAGCTTGCGCGTGCGCAGGCGCACTAAGCCGGGAGGTGTTTCTCGGAGAATAAACCGCCCGAGGAAAGTGTACGGAATTTTTGCTGGCGAGTCATTCGTATTAATGCTGAACTTGGACGTCCTAAGTTTTCTCTTCCACCCCTGTTTGTGAAGAATCTGGGGAGTTTGTGAGTGCAAATATATATGTATTTTTCAGCTGTGTGCGGTTGCCACGCTACACCTTCTCCCGCCGGGTAAATGCAATTTCAAAACTTACGGAAAAGTAAAAGGAACTCAGAAAAGTGCAGACTTGGCCCCAAGGTCCAGACTACGGCCCGCTTTGCTCCTGCCTTATCTGCACTCAGACGCCACACGCTTTTTGGATCTGGTCTGTCCAGAAGCTGTTTCTTAAGAACGACTGGTCATGGTGCGTCTGGGCCTTGAGTAACGTGCCCAGCTGTTTTCTGCGCTTAATTAACCAAGTCTGCATGATCTGATTAACCCAGATGTTAGAACATTGATCCCAGAGAAAGAAGAAACCATCTGTGGAATTTACCCCTGGATGGACCTCTCAGTTGCTTGATCTGATGTCCTGAGAATCCCAGAATCCAAGGAGAACCCAGCAGCTTTTCACTGAGCAAGGAACGATCACACTAAAGTAGCTAACCGAATCCCAGAATCCAAGGTTGGCAGACTCAGCTTTCCGCAGCTCAGTAGCCTGTGAAATGTTTACGGGGGCGGGAATTGGGTCTCAGTAGTTTAGGACGGGATCTTCACTGTCAAAGCTGAGCTGAGAGCTGAGGATTGGGGAAGTGGGGAAGGACTGTTCTACTATGACTGACCTTGATTGAATAGCTACAGAATTCATTGGTAAGAAAAACCTTACGTCACTCAACATTTTGTGGGGGGAAGGAGAGGCGGGGGAGTTTGGGAAGTGGGGCTTGCCTCTTAAAAGGACCAGTGAATAGAAAAAGCCTACCAAAGTTTTCTTGAGAGTTAAGATGGGTTGGAGAGAAGAGGGCACAAATCTTCCCCATTCGCCTTCCTATCTTATTGCGTATGGCATTTAAAGGGAAGCTTACCATCCTGAACTGGTGAGACAGGGATGAAAGGGAGCAATCTGATGTTGGCACAAGTCTTGATACTCAAATCTCAATTAAATTCCTCAGAGATTGTCAGGGGATACATAGGTCCCCTCCAAAGCTCTAGTGTAAATTAGAACCAATATTTTGTGGCCTCTCTTCTCCCTCCTTCTCTTTCTGTACCTCTTTCCTTCCCCACCTTCCTATCATACTGAGTGCCCTTCCAAAGTTCCTAACTCAGACTGCCTTCTTCTACTTCCAGGAGAACCCAGCAGTTTTTCACTGAGCAAGGAACGATCACACTAAAGTGTGAGTATGGCTTGTGTCTCCAAAGGACATGTATCTTTTTAAAAGGTGCTTGTTAAGCTAGAAGAATTCTTAACTGGTAGAGTGAATGTGTGTTTGTGTGTGTGTGTGTCTGTGTGTGTGTGTGAGACAGAGAGAGAGAGAGAGAGAGAGAGAGAGAGAGAGAGAGGGAGAGAGGGAGAGAGGGAGAGAGGGAAAGGAGGAGATGCTTTGAGATACTCTTTGATCACCTTTCTAAGTATAATCATCCCCCTCTTGAAAAATCTGCCAAGGATCGAAAACCACAGAATCACAGTGATAGGCACACAGGGACCTTAATAAATGTTAGGTTTTTACTGAAGAGCTATCACTTACTGAATATTCACCAGGTACTTTCCTATGCTTTTTCTAGTCCTCTCCTGTAAGGTAAATATTTGTTATCCTCATACATAGATGAAGAAAATGAATTACAGAGAAGTTAAGAAATGTATTCAAGATCACATAACCAGCATTCAAATCCAGGCCTACTTAATTCCACACTTTCTCTTTCCACTGACACAATTCTACATTTATGGATGCTTGAAATCATCTCTGCAACCCCAAAGATTATGTGCTATTATCCACTGCCATTTCCCCTTAACTCTCACCTTTGCCAGTTAAACAAAGACTCACACCTTAGGAACCAACCTAGGGCATTTGAAAGGAAGGTCCCTTCCTTGCTCTTTTATTACTTTAAAACAGTCCTTATATTCTTTTCAACGTAATATTCCTTTTGCTCAGCCTAGGTCACCATTGTAATTCTTGAGAAAGATCTAATATTCTACTTTAGAAAAATACACACATATTTCTACATTGAGAATCTATGGGAAACCCCCATAGGCTGTTGATTCTGTGGTTCTTTTGTTTGTTTGTTTGTTTTAATTATGAGGCACACTGCTTTGGGGTGTCTTTTAAATATAAATGTGCTTCAGTGATTGAACATACTACAAAACTTTTCACAGAATTATTATTTAATCTGAAACGTCTGGAACAGAATTTTCTTTTTAGTAACTTGAGCTTGTTGTTGAATTATCAGGTGTTTTTCTCCTAGATTTTGTGTTATAACTTAGTCTTTCTAGATCAGTCGTTAACACTTTCGAGTTATTTGGGGTTCTCATTCCCTATTAATTAAAATCCAAATTCCCTGGCATTCAAGGCTTCCAAGACATGGCTTTACAAGCTTTATTTCTCCTTTAATTCAGAGTTTTTGATTTGTCTATCAGTGATATCCTAAAATTAAGAAGTCACATTCTGTTTTATAATGTTACTAACAATTTAAAAAGAAGATTACTCTTAAAGTAAGTTTCTGTAAACCTATTTCAGTTTCTTGAGATAATCCAAGCATAGATAAGAAAGTGATTAATTTTTAAACACATCTTAATGAGGAAAAGGTCTTAAAATGTTCAAAAATAATGTATGATGACAATTAGTTTTATTATACTTGGTTTGGAAAATGATCTTTACAAAATAAATAGCCAGCACTCTGATTATAAATATCTAGTGATAATAGCAATAGTTTATTTAGAGAAAATGTGCTAACCTTAGATTGTACAAAGATGCCTATGTGACCTCCACAGGCAAAGTTAGTGTTCAACAGGGAGGGCTATTCAGCGAATTCAGGCAAAATGGTGAAAGGGAAAAGGGAAAGGTTTTTTTTTTCTTTTTTAAAGGAAATTGCTGTGCTCACTTACTATCTAAATTTCTGTGATTAAAAATACTTACTTTGCAGCTGTCACAGAACAATACAAAGCTCCTACCAAATAAATAATTTTATCAACAAAAGTGTGTGTGTGGGGATCTTCCTGTTTGTATGAATCTCTGTACAGTACAGGATCATTTTATTAAAAATATTACAATAAAATATGTAATTTTAGGAACTGGTCAATACACATGCATTTTCAAACTGTAGTACTTGGCAAACTAAAAGTATATAGTTAATAAGAAAATTTTGAAACTACATTGTAATTTGTATTAATAGTATAGGATTTATAATAAAATATGCAGACCATTCATCTTAATCATTTGAGGTTCTAAGGTGATTAATTTAAGTGTCCTATTTAAATTTAAAAATTTACATTTATTTCAGCAGATATCAGTTCATAGAAAAAAGCATATGTCTTCACTCCTTTTAATATTTGAATTATAATGATTTTTCAAATCAGATTTCTCACTTAATTTGTTCATAGAGCTCTACATTTGGATAAAACAATATTAATGCTTTTGCACATAAAATGAATTCTTAATACTAACCAGTACATATATTGTAATCTCCTTTTAAGATTTAGTTGACTTTTTCATCTTCCTTTTAAGTTATAGAAGACGTTACATAAAAAAAATTAGGTCCCTTCAAATATACATGGCCCTAGCTCTGACCACCAATATGATAGAATATTAGAGACGTTAGAGCTTGCCAAAACTAGCATTATTGATCCTGTGACCTGGAACATTTTTTTATTACTTTATTGTCACCTTTCTCCTCCTGAAGCTTCCTTTTTAAAGGGAGAGTATTCAGAGGAAGGTCTGCTCTTGGGATCTGGTGAGGTTGCTGGTGCCAGAGGAGCAATTATCCCCTGAATTAGATACAGATTTGGCTCTGGAAGAGAACTGAGAAGGGGGACAATGTTCATATCTTTGTACCTAGGAGGAGTGTGTCTGAAATCTTATGATGCATGTTTTAAAAGTACAAAGAAACGTGATAGAAAATTGCCTGTAGATATACTGCATGTTATTTATTATAATTTTCAGATGTATATTTTCCCACATTTCAACGTCTCTTGAAACTTGGAGGCATCTAACCATTTAGCAATTATAATTGGATTGGCAGTACTTTTCTTTCTTAATAGTACATAAAATAACGGTGCATCATTCAATTGATGGTGTCTTCCATTCAGTTAGATATAAATATGGGTAGATGGAAATATTCCAGATGGGGATATAATTAAAAGAGACAACCTGACCCCTTAAGTATTTTATGAGTTTGTCTGTAGTCTAGTCTTTTGTGACTCGTTCAATAACAAATTTTCAAGTGACTATTATTCTAAGATGGCAGAGATAATGAACAAAGACCCTATCCTCACAGAGCATACAGGGAGCTGGGAAAACAGACAATTAGATGTTTAATTTTAATATGTGGTATATTGTAGAAGCAAAAGTGCTAAGGGCCTACAAATCTCTGGGGGAGGGGGTCCAATCTACACCAGTGGGTTCTTGGAAATCACATTCATGTGGGGACTTGAGGACCAGTAGCAGTGTAACTGCTTATGCAAAAGCCTGGAGACTTCAGAGGAGCTGGCACAATGGAGGAGCTGAAAGAAGCTTAATAATCATGAGGATGAGAATATATTCAGCTCATTTACATCTGTTGATACTCTACTGTACTTGCTTTGAGAGCGAATACAATTCTCCAGTCACAGACCACTCTGAATAGGCAACATATTCTGACTTTAGCATTGTGACAACAGTTCCAAATATCTTTCATCTCAATTTCCCAACATGAATTCAGATACACTATTTTGTATTTCATACCACA